GAATTAGTGTGAAATGACATCATTACTCAGTTGGGTCTGCCTTGCATTTATACCATTTATTAATTTATTTGGAGTAGACAAAAGTGGCAAAATACAGAGCGTGTTAAAACCCTGCCCTGAACTACCTTCTTCATTTGGCTGCCAGAGGAAATGATGTCAGAATGCACTTTAACACAGAGATACCCAGCTTCTGCTTCAGCAAGGTTATTTCCATCCGTACCATGGGAACAAGCATAAAGTGGCTGAAATGATGTAACACAGTGGGTGTGTGCATGTGTGTGTGTGTGTGGGGGGTCGTAATCACACGTTTCTTTGCTACCATGTTGTTGAGGTGTGGTGGTCTAAATGGGAATGCAGTGGTTAGCAGTTGTTATAAAAAACAATTCACCTGCTGCGACATGTGCGCCGCTTTTCATTTGCTTGCAGCGCTTCTGATAAGCTCTTCAAAAAGCACACCTGCACTATGCACCTGTCAATTTGTGCGTAATAAATATGTATTTGCATTCATTATCCAAATCCTGTGCCCCACAAAAAGTTTCAAAGGTTGCATTTCACACAAGTTTAAGGCAAGATCTTACATCTGAATCATTAGTTTGAACAAAGACTGCCGATGTACAGTGTCTCCTGCCACAGCTGCTCGTTGGTGAGGGTGAAAAAGAGGAAAGTAACAATTTGCAAGCGCAGGTTCTAGTTTAAGTAGAGAACAAATGCAGGGCAGCTAAACTGAGCCTAGTTTCTTGATTCAAAATCCCCAAACCTTCACACATGTTCTGATAAAGAGTTTCTCAAAAGTTTAATAGATTACTGTTGATTACTGAGCTAGCATATGACTGAGAGTTGAACGAGAAAAGTGTGCAAATCAGTACTAGTTAGTGTTTGCAATGTGTCATCTCAGAGTGGTGATTTGTCTTGGGGATTGTCATTTTTGTACTGGTTTAGATTTTAACTAGTAGTGAGATGACATTTATTGATACCTGTGTTTGTCAGTGTTATGATGATTTAGTTTGCTACTGTGACTGGAATAAAAAGTCTACGATCAAGTTCAAACAGTTCAAATTGTTTTCAGTTATATCACAACATAAAGTGGTTAAAGTAGTTGTAGGTCGCACAAAGAATTACCAGCAACCACCGATGGCTACATGTCGAAAACTGTGGTTCTAATATGAATAATACAGAAATAAATCAATAAAGGCAACGTGGAAAAATACACACTGAGATGCAAATAAAAGAAGACACTTAGATGCATATCATTCATATTGTAGTCATACTACAAAAACAACACAGCTGAAACATTTCCAATGTGTTTTGAAAAATATGTGTTCATTTCCAGAAATTTAGAACTGTGACGCCAAAAGGGAGGGAAAGTTGTGTAATACTTCAAAAAACATCCTCTGGAATATCTCACTACTAACTGAAGTTAACTGTCAGTGTCAGAGGGATGGAGTTTCTGAGAACTAAAAGGATTTCCCCGTGCTGCAAAAACACTGTGTGGGCATGAGTTCAGCAATGTATGACAAGGCCTTGTCAACATAAAATTGGTGAATTTATCATTTGTGATGCTTAAACGACTCAAAGATTCTAGAAAAACTTCTGAACACAATAGACAAGGTCAAAAACCAATAAAGGAAAAGATACGTGTGTATAACATGACACGACTAATTGATTCTGTACCACACGGGCTCGGGAACGTCAATCATCTGACCACAGAACAGCTTTCCACTGAAGCCCAGCCTTAGTTCTGGTCCAGAGGAGACAGCAGCGTTTCTGGAAGTGTTCACGAGCCCGTGCACTCATTCAGAATGACAGAATCATCCTTGTTTTTATGTAGTGCTGCACGAGGACCCAAATATGACAGTGATCCAGTGCAGACTTTCAGCCGTGTGCCTCCTGCACAGAGATTTCTCTAGATTCTCAGAATCGTTTGAAGATGTTATGTACTATAGATAATCAGATTTTCATTATCTTAGCTGTAAAATTTCACTTTGAATTTGTACATAGAGAAACATCCCTCTAAAATAGTTCTGTGTTTTTTCCAGATTGCTAAACTTTTGCCGATCTTTATACCCAATCATGTTGTTGACCTGCTGCCACTTAAACTAAATAGCTGCAAAATGCTCACCCAGTTTTCTCTTCACTTAGTTTTCTATTTTTATTTAGATATGAAGTTGAAATGATGGTTGCTCATCCAGCACTGTTTTACTTTTAGGCTACAGTCTAATATGTTAAATTTAAAAAAATAATAAAAATGTAACATGCACAAATATGAAGACCAAAAGCCATTTTCTCTAAAGCTATTGGAAAATGTATTTCAGGCTATGAATATGGTATCACTAACTGCTGGATCAGCACCTAAATGTGAGACTCAAAATTTACGCTAAAGAACAAATAAAGATAAATAAGGTCGAATGCAGAGAATATAAAAATCCAAAATGGGGTAACTAAGCAGGAACACACAATGGCACATTGATAGACACCCGGAAGAAAGAAAAAAGGGAAACTGAGGCTACGCATAAACACAAAGTAATCAAGAAGAGTACAAGCAGCAGGGTAACAACGCACAGCTGAAACAAATTAAGACAATAACAAGGAAAGACAAACCAACGGTGAGGCACAAGAGGCTAATAACTAACAGAAGAAAACAGGAAGTCACTAAAAGGGGAATCACATAACATACAAGAGGGTACTAAACACAAGGAGTCGAACAGTAGTAAAACTCCAGTCCAACGAAAATACTAAACAAGACACAAAATGTCAAACAGAAGCTAAACCAAAGAGCATAAACTAAAACTCGATGTGAGAAAAATCTACAGACAAATGGAAACTAATAGGCAGCAAATATGCTTATAAAATATAGCCTACAGCATTTCAGTATGTCTCTGCTAATTTTCTATGCAGTGGTTCTGTACATGATAATTATAGAAGTTACTAAATAGAAAATAAACAGTGTCTGCTCTTTATGCTTGAGAGGCATGAAGTCTCACGGGAGCCTGTCTGCCACTGAATAAAAACAAACAAACAATATAACCCAGATATAATTCTGCACTGTTTTTATATGTAGTAGTATTTCAGTATGCCTGACTGTGATGACAGTGTGCAAATGGAAAATTCTGGGCCTTTGAGTTATTGTGTTGGACCAGTCTAACGATAATATACTGATTACTATATTGATATGTAACCAGTACAGAGAGGAGAAATAATTATGATTCATTCATTGCTCATTATTCTTTTCAAAAGATCAAACTGTAATACAGATCTCTGTTTAGAGCACTTGCTCTGGCTGGGCTGACCCAGCGAGGCTGTGATTGAGGTCACAGCTCGGACTTTGTCTGCAGTTGTGGTGACACGTATGATGCTATATGTTGCTTTACTGTAACTTGCTTGCTTTCATTTGATGTAACTGAAGTCACCAGTATATCTCAATCAGGGTTTCACCAAATATAAACTTAGGCCACCCCCACCTCCCTCCAGCCCTTGAAATTGAACTTGCTGTTCTGGTCCCTTGACCACTATAGCAGTGCAGCTTTGCTGTAATAGTTTTGTGTTCATACAAAACTATTTTTAGAAAGCCAAGTTTTATTTAGTGTTTTTTCTGATCACTTCAATTTCACCACTACAAAAAAGAAAACAATATATCATAAACTAGTCTTAATAACAGAGACGCATAAATCTCATAGATCAGAACCACTGGTGGTCAGCTAAAACATAACCCTGGCTGTGTGTAGCCCAGAGGTAAAACAAAGTTATTTAGGAAAAAAATCCCTCCGGTGCTTTATTTTTTATTTTATTTGTTTAATCTAATGTCCACAAATGCTTAAAGAGCACCACGAGTACTTCGGCAGCTTTAAAAACCTGTAAGTGCATCTCACTCTGAAATTACCACATTTTCTCTGTTGTAACTACATGGAAGTTTTGTTTAGCCACCAGATCAGTAGCTTCCTGCGCTGCTTAAGCTCACTGGGATGAGTCGGCGACCACAATGCGTAAAAATAATTTGCAGCATGCCTCCCCCCTCTTTCTGTCCACTGTTCCTATTTGAAAAAGGCTAAAAAAAAATAGCTTATAGCTTGCTAGCTGTCCGTCAGACTCCTGTTGGCTGTACTCTTGATGAGAAATATAACCCAGCTAATAGCTTAAGGGGAATAACAGCTGCCTGTTATTTCAGTTGGATGTCTGCTGATAACAAAGTTAGGCGTTACCCGTGAGAGACAATTATGACAAATAAGAAGCAAGCAAACAGGTGGGATTTCTATTGCTCACTCTTTATTGAATGCAAATTGTTTCTGAACATAGTCCAAGTTCCAATTTACTTTTGCTTATCTGATGTTGCTTCGTAATTTATGTTAAATAGCTGGTTAAGTTATTTTAAAGTAGTGTGATATTATAAAAAGAGTTCATCTGCAGTCAGCTGCTGTCTCTCTGTTGACACTGAATGTTTCTTTGAGTTTGTCTTTGAGCCACTGGGACTGGCTGCCTGCCTGGCCAGCAGCACTGTCAGGCAATGAGCCAGCAACCTGCTACAGCCGGGGTGGCTGGCTGCTGACTCAAAAACACACTGAAACACAAGCCAAATCCAAGAAAGGGGTCACAGCTACTGTTTTTGTAAATCCTATGCAATAGTTCTGTTTTTATCTCTATGAGGTTAGACTGTCACACTTTATTAGCAAAGCCCCAAAAAACCTTAAGCATGGACACAGAGGCCCAGGGGTGGGCAATCTTCATGGTTCAAGTCAGAGAAGTGTTTTTTATCTTTGTGAGCACTGTGTCAAAGAATAAAGCAAAGACTTTGTTCAAAATGCTGTTATTCATCTGTTTTAATCAATTTTGAGTGTAAAAATATTAAAAACAATGTCAGGGTTCTGAAGGTTAATGGAACAATAAAAACAAATTGTGGGCACAGTATGGAAGAACATGACTACATCTGCTCACACGGCAAAACAGATCATCTTATACTTCACTCTTTCCGTTTGGAGGCAGACTGTGGCCTACAGTTTGTAAAGGCAGTGTGTGATATGATGACAGAGAAGTTTAATTGTAAATTCTGCATTAACACCAGTGAAACATCGTGACACCGGACACACATCTGTAGCTCAGTCACAGTTTGCATAACATTAACAGATTTCTGAACTGAGAGTGGTGGGCAAAGGTGAGCGTGTGTTGTTATCGTCACTGACCCACATGTGGCTACCCGCCCAATTCTGTGTACGTTTTAGTCTTTGTATACTTTCTCAGGAAAGTACCAAACAGCGAACTGCACAAACACCACAGCATCGTGTTCTGTGAAGTTAAACAGCATGAATGGACTGTATGGAAAAAATTGTACTCCTACTTTAGAATGTTCTTTATGTGGCTGCAATGGGAATGATCAGCAACTTAGAGCTGACAGCTGATTCTGTAGGAACAAAAAGTGGAGAGGGGGGGAGGTTTGCATGCTGCACACACTTGAAAAGTTCTCGTTTTGAAAGGGCTGCGCACCTTGAGCTGTTAGTTCCCAGCAATAACGTTACATCGTCAGCAGGCATGTATGACAGTACTGAAAAAGAAATAACACATTTGTTTCTTGGTTGATGAAGCTGTACGCTAGATTCGTCCTTCTGTGTTTCACAGTCAGTCAGACATGTATTGTCTTTGTGGAGAATGGGCTCTGCCTGCTCTGGCGATGATTTTATGAGGCGGAGGTGGGCAAGACATGGACAGCAGCCCTGGAACCTGCTGCTCCTCCTCTTCATCTGAGGGGGTTCTTGTTGCCATGGGCTTCAGTAGAGGACCTATGGGATGAGGGGAATGGGTTGGCAGGAGATTTCGAGGAAGCACAAGGGGCTTGAGGATGCCAGAGCCGCTAGTAGCTGGTCTGTTGAAATACGAATAGCCTCTCATCGTATGAAGGGCGTATGCAGGGATCAGAAAGGAGTTAGAAGGCTGGTGACTGGGCAGGACAGAAGAGTCTCTACCACCCCAGTAGTAGTTTCTCTGCAGGGATTGTTGGTGGGTGCTGGTGGTGCTTACAGGCTGGCTGCTGCTGTTGAAATGGCATTGCAGTGGATTACTTTGTTGGCCTGTGTACGCTGCAGGGTGAACCAAGCCAAAGTGAAGCTTGATGGCCATTAACTCAGCACTGAGCCTGGCGTTTTCTTCTTTCAGAGCCATGAGATGAGTCTCCAGCACATAGTCATTCATCCTTCTCTTCTCCCGTGACCGCTTGGCAGCTTCGTTGTTCTTGCGACGTTTCTCCCAGTAGAGCTCATCCTTCTTTTCTTCAGGTATGAACTCCCTCTTGCGACGGGGTCCTTTACGTACCAGATCGTTTTCCACGTGTAAAACATGGTTTTCTTGGCCCCCGTGAAAAGCTAGCGGTAGGGACTCCATGCTAAATGAAGAGCGAGTCACAACAGAGACCTGAAATCGAATAGAGGAGAGCAGTTAGTGGAGCTGAAGCGAGCAGCTGAGTAAGCAATGAGTTCTTTATCAGGAAACTACTCTGCAGTTTTTTAATGAACAATGAGACAAATTTTAACGAACTGTCAATGTGACACCGCTCTACACTCCTGCAAAGGTTGGTCAGAATTCAATAAAGACGTTTTGAAATATCACGTTTACAGAATGACGCACGTGCAAACGCTACCAAAAACGTCCTTGGTGGAGGTAATTATAGATATAGCTTTACATTAAACAAACAGGAACCACAAAATATTTATGCTTTGAGGTTCTTTTCAAATAACATGACGATTTCCTGTATCCTTACAGCTGTACTGTGCGCTGTCAACATATAGAAAGTACCGTGTGAAGATTTAAAATATGTCACATTTGACCTCTGACCTCTCCTTCAAGGTCAATAGATAAGTCGACGTGATAATAATGCTGCGTAGAGCTGTTTAAAACTGTTTCTAATTACCGTTGTTTATATTGACAGCATAAGGGAATATGAGAAATGATATAGGGGGATTCAAAATATTACTTTGGACTTCTGACCTCTTCTTCAAGGTCAAACTTCAGTAAAATGTCTTATGTTTAAAATTCTGCTGCCTGTTTGTCCTGACAACATTTAGGAGATGATTGTGGTATTTGAGGATTCTGAGTATCGTTTGCATCCAAATATCACGTCACATTTGACCTCTGATCTCACTTTTAATTTCATATCTGCCTTTCTTTCAAGATGATCCTCAAATATGTTAAATATTTAAAGAAAGTATCGTCAAGAGAGAGAATGAGCTAATCAGAGATATGCTGCAGAATATAGTTAGTTATTTACAAATCAGTACCCGTTATCCATTACATATTTTAAATGCACTTTAAAGGAACGAGGAAAACAAGGTGAACATACACCAAATGCAATCCTAATCCCTTAAAAGGAAGTCGCGCGCACAGAGCGAGCTGCCTCGGTGAAGGTTTGAACGCTCTGAGTGATTCTTGTCATTAAACACATTTATAATCTGAATATGTCTTACATTTGGATTCTTACACTTACGGATGCAGTTTCAGGGTCTGGTTAAAGAAAACAGCAGACACTTCTCCATATTTTTGTCACATTGTTAGGGCAAGCTGTTTAATCGCACCACTGAGAAAACAGATTAGCCGCTGATGACAACGGCATGCTGTTGCAGTGCTAGTCCCTAATCTTATAATGTGTTGAGTAATAGAGGCACATATACTTTGTGTATTTGCAACTTTGTGTTTGTTTGTCTCGCTTTAAGCATATAAATGGCTAATGTTCAGATATAAAGGGCTTTTTAAAAAATCGGATATAATTGTATAAAATGCTGCACGTGCCTGTAGAGGCTGTCCATCTATGGCAGACCATTTTCATACCATTATGGTTTTTTTCCTCTCCAAAAATATTTAGAGGCTATTGCAGTTCAGTACTTTATTACACTCTGTCTAGCACCTCGAGACCCACAACCCCCTTTCCTGAACTAGCCTCACCACCTACCTGTCTCAATATGAAACATATGAAAATAATAAGGCTGGAAACAATACATAGAATGGCAAGATTGTGGCTTTGTGTGTTAGCTCCATATTCCATACTGAGTCATCAGCGTGCTTTGTCTGCATCATGGCTGATGAGGAGCCAAATTAGAAGAGTTTGCATTTGTGATTTTACAGATCTGTGTTGTCAAAACCAAATAAAAATACTCGTCGAGCCTTTCTCTTTTTACTTTTATATCTGTGAAACCAAATAAAACGCTTCTTAACGGAAACTTTTCACGCGAGGTTTTACGCGACCGAGAAGATGCTGTCGCACCAAGCGGCTTTTAGTTCAGCTGAGGTGACCTAAGCTCGGCGTATGCAAATTACGCATAGGTATCTTTAGTTAACGTGAAGTCAAACAATGCTTCATGTTTCTCACTTTGTCTCCCCCTCATCTTCCTCTTTGATCGCCTTGTCCTTCTAGTCACTGCTTCCCCTCTCCAGCACTTTCATCTTTGTGCGTCACTTTGTTGCGTGAACAAACGTGCAGCCAGTAAGAGTTTGTCCATTTTGCTGTACATCTACCTCGAATCCTTCTTTAAATGAATAGAATAGGAGGAATACTGACTGCTGCTAATGAATTATCTTTTATTCACGTGGGTTTGTGGGTGGTTTTTATGGGAAGCTGTGCAAGATGGGTGAACAATGTGTTAAAAACCACAGCCAGCCTCCTGTACGTGCAATCAGAAACACACATAGACTCATACAGGCTAGGCTTACACTTATCTCTTTTAACTCATTGATGTTTCATTCACACCTTATTCTTGCTCACAATATAATACCTGATAAGTGGTTTTTTTTAATCATACACTGCACAGTACTTTATGATAGTAGTCAATTGTGACACCTCATAGAAGAGCTGCAAAAAAAGCTGTCACTCAGGATGTCACACATATAGCATGCTCTTAAATGCAAACAATAACTTCACAGCTTATTACTTACCGTGCAATGCCCTGCAAGGCTGTAGAATGGCCTTTTTTTATTTCAGTTGTACAAAATGAAAGTACTTTCTTAGCATGTCGAGTGACCGTACAGTCAGACTTTGCCAGAGGCAACAAAACTGTAGTTTCAAAGAGGCCATGTACCGTGTGTAGTGGTGAGAGTACACATTGGTTAAAAATATTCAAACCTTTGCCCAGAGAAACCCCGTGTGTTTCTGTGTGAGAACGTGCACACCTGCAAACTGGTGTCTGACACAAAAACTACTTGTTGTACATTAAAAAAAGAAAAAGAAAAGCAACAGCAGGAAGAGAGAAAACAATAATCACAAAGGAAGACACAGACAAAGAGAAAATAAAAAAAGAGAGGGTTCCTGAGTGAAATCTCTCTTGAGGCCAACCCCGCTCTCTACTCTGCTGCACATTTGCACCTGTTTCTTATCGACTAATTATAGCCCGCCTGCTTTTTAGTAAGGAACTCTCAGACTTCTTCTTTTGGTGTCTATCCGTTTTCTCACACTCTAACATCTGTTGTTGTGTTGCTCTGTACCCTGCCAAGCTTTGTTAAAATAAGTGCTCATAGGAAAAGTTGGTCAGTCCATATTCTGTGGCTTTCCACCTCAATGTACTCTATTCACATCACCTTGAAACTGCCATTAGTATGAGAGAATTCCCTGTTGGGTGGATAAAGAACTCGCCTCCGTTCTTGCTTTTAACCGTCTTGTAATGCAATGCATTTCTTGATGAGCAGATAAAATACAAACTACCATCCTCACAATGCTTTGCATGCAGTAAATATGTTCCGAAACATCAGGCGTTCTGCCTTTTTTGTAATTTTCCTGACTTTACGTGAAAAATATTTTTTCCTCATTGTTTAGTCAGCCATACCGACATAAACATTTTATTATTCAAGTGTCACAAATTAGGATTCGTATCACAAAATAAACATTTAGCTTCATGACTGGCTATAACATTTGCATAAATGTGCTAGACTTGTGATCGCACTACTTTTTGAAACCTTTTGGATTTATACTTGAAGTCTTCCGGTTGCTCATAGCGAGCGTTACTAGCAACCGCTGCTACCAAAGTGCTTGACCTTTATTTACTTCTGAGTGGACAGTGAACCTTCACTTACTAGTAAAATCATTTTATGCTTTCATAAAACACACTTTCACTTTCTGCAAACTTGTGATGTTTGCAGCTCTGATCAAACTCAGGCTTCATACGGGCAAAATGTCCCAACTATATCACGTGTAAAATATTTACTAAGTGACCAAGACGCGGGTATCGTCATTGCAGTAAGTAGAATTTTATTAAAAATGTTCAGCTTTGGGTGAGACCACTTCTTAGTCTGAGAAGTATGCACGATGATGGATTGGTAACTTATGAATTAATAAATGTTTAAAAACTCCCACTTTCTCATATCTACAGCACAGCGCAGCATCTAAGAGCGGGCCAAGACATTTTCCTCCACATCATGGTCGAATTGATTGGATCAGAAGCGATTCATTCGTGACATTGTTTTTGAGAACATCACGATTAGTTGTCCCATTTTTTAAGACTTCAGTTTGATACGGATTTGCTAAAATTGCACGAAGTATCCAGTTTCGCCTTCCCTCGCAATGGTAAAGAATCCCTCCAAAAATGGGGATCTGCATGCGGGGCTAGCTCGGCTTCAAAAGTCAACGATCTCTGAGTTGGGCCGAGCCCCACGTTTGGTCATTTTCATGCAAATCCATCCCGGACTTTTTGAATAATTCCACTAGCAAATAGAGAAACATACAGATACAAACTGAATTACTCACATAAACACAACTGCAGGGATGACATACAACAATTCACATGAGCTATAGATCATCCAACATCATATCTTACTGTTGTTCTGTGCTCTATTCTAACTTTGTATATCTTTTCCCCTTTCATGAAACAAACGTTCGTTTTTTCTGAGATAGCTAAATAACCTTCAGAGCGTTCGTATTCTGATATAACTGTGAGGTCATTGCAGAACATCAAAAAGTATTTTTTATTCCTAACCTGGCAGATTATTTAAAAAAATACAGCTAACAGAAATACGTCGTTTGCTGTAGAGAAGCTCCATGTACACAACTGTGCTCCTCTTGCGCATAGTTACACAGTGCAAACACTTCCTCTTCCTCAAACAACTGTCACCAGATAATAGAATATAGAATAAATACCTGATTTAATTTTGAATTAAGAAAATGACACTTTACAAGTCTGGCTGCTTAATTCTGCTTTTGGTCGCGAGTGAAGTGAAACGATTCAAAGGTTTGCTGAGCTGACAATTTCACAGAATACACAGTTATGTTTTGCTGTGATCACAGCAAGACCAGTTGTGCACGCGTTGATAAATGTCCGTCCCTTGGTCACTAACACCTCAACCATTTCCTTCATTCGGTCTTTTTACTTTTAACATACATGGTCAGTGCCAGTATATGTGAGAAAATGTGCTTCAGGCCTTACCTTCTGCAAGCGTATCCACAAGATCTGCTGCCGTCGAGCTGCCAGTGAACTGTTTCAGAGAGGTCTCGCTCTCGCCCTAATGTACAACTTAGAGTGCCGAACTCTTCTGTTAGACACTGTCAAGCAATTAATGCACATATGAGTCGAGTGGGGATCATAATACTTTGTTGCTTTCAGTCCTACCCACTCACCTCTCTCTTTTTTGCTTTGCTCTCAGCCTTTTTTAACGCGCTGTTTTCCTGTCTTTAACTCTGGCTGTCCACCTCTGTTGTCGCATGAAAAGTGTCTGACTGCTTTCCTTGATGTCGATCATATTGTGGTGGTAGTGGCTTGCCCACACAGGGGTCTCCCCTGTATGATGCTGCTTTCAATTTTAGGCATATTTGGTCAATAGCATGCCAAAACTAAATGAAAACATGCATCTAATGCCCTAGAGTTTAGTAAAGCTATATGATTTTTTTTAAATCTCTAGAGTAAATGCATTGTTAGCGTCTTTACAGCATTTCGTTCGTACTGCAGCTGTACTATGATACTTTGCTCAGTGAAATGTTTTAACCACATGTTAAAATTCAGTCACATACCTGATGTCTCGTTCCAGAAAAGCTTGGGCGCAGCAGTAGTTGCGGCGGTCTTAGTAATATGAGACGTTTTAGAGATAAAAGCCACAACAGCCAGGTAATGATATGACCATCAGTTCTGTGTTGTTCAGATATTTAGTGTAAAGCATAAGTGTGAGGAGACGTGACTAAAACTTTATGTGTGACTTTTAAATAAATCTTTGGCACCTCAGATTCGCAGAAAATGCAGAAGTGTTTGTGACTTATGAGAGTGTATTTCAAGCCTCTGCTCAGTTAATCTTCTTCTTGTCCAAATTTAGAATCTTTTGTTATAATATAATAATTCCTGTGTCAAAATGACTTTGACACAGGAATTAAAATGCATGCTTTTGTCGTGACTGGAAATTTTACTTCAACGCCCATTTCTATGTATAGCCAGTGTCACATGTAGACAGATTTTTGGCTTCCTGTTGTGATGCGTGTAAGTCCTTAATGTTAGAAAAATAAGCACGAGAGGTCCACGTGGAGGCAAAAATGCTTTCTTTTTCAAAGGGCTGAAAGAGAGTTCCTTTTATGCTAAAATGTTATTTTCTAAACTCGCACGTAAACTTATTTTCAGTCCATCTCTCTGTGTCAGATGGACGAACACTGAGACGCACTCAGTTTGTCAAAGCTGGAACGTGTCTTACACAAAGACATGAATTTGACATCACGAGCCCTGACGGACGAGTTCCAGTACGTTAAACAGGACATTCAATCATCGTTTTTTTCTGTTTTTAACTTTAACACCTGGGATGCCTTAATTTAGACCGTCCCTTTTTCAAGAAAGGAGGTCAAGCATTTATTCAGAGGAGAGTAAAGTTCAAATCCATGATTGAATTGGGTTGACCACATCCAAACAAATTAAATCTGGGTCAAAGGATATGATTTTGTCTGACAATATAGGTCATGTCACCAGTTTGTCATTTATGACATATCCCATGAAAAGAATTTAACCCATGACACACAAACGCACAAACTATACAGGTCACAGTTTGGGCACTGGTCACAGGAAGGTTAAAAGTTTGTTTTAATGATGAGCTTGTCTTCTTACATTTTTTTAGATGTGACTAACAATAAAAAACCTTATTGCTATTTCAGCTGCTGCTGTGCCTGATACTAATCTTTGGGTTTTAATAGGGATGCATCGGCACGTCTCTTTTTTAACCACAAGTTTCTTCAAAGACTTATGTGTACTGACTTTTGTAAACTAAAACCACTCAAAATGTGGAACAGTGTCTGAGTGTGTTGAGTTTCAGGAGAAGGCATACAAATGTCACATAAGCTCACGTAAAATAGAACATCCGGTCTCCTTAATTTAAAATAATATTCTTTCTTTGAAGTCTGAATAAAAATATGCGATGTGAATATATTGGTAGCATTAATATTAGTTTACGTTTACTTTATTTAGTTATTTACTCTAAAAACGGTGTATGTGTTAAAAATGCATACATACTACTGGAGAGGCAGAAATTATTCCACAAAACGAAATCCATCTGCCACACCGTTTGTGTTGTAGCGCCCTCTGCTGGAGGCTTCGGGATCGTGCATGGGTATTTAAGAGCCGATTGCGATGGCACTGCGTAGCAGGTCAGAGATGACATGATGCTCCATTCGCCTAACAAGTGAAAGATCCTGTTGCGAGAGGATACCCGGATCTTTCTTTTTTTTTTTTTGGTGGGCTGGGGGGGGGGGGGGGGATTACATCAAGAAGGGCATAAAAAGGGATTAAAAAATACAAATAAAAAAGAAATGAAGTAGGCAGAGCCCCCCTGCTGTGGTGACGCTTTATAAGAAAGGGAGCAGCCGAAAGTACTTCTAATAGCAAATCTGCTGTCACATAATCATATTTAAAACATTTGTAAAAGCCAACCATAACTCAAAGAGTGGATTTGAGCTTAAATACCGAACAGAAGCTTACGAGGCTTTCTAAGCGCTAATGTTAGCATATTTAATACCAAAGTTATGAGGCTGGAAGGATTATAGGTGGATTTTCCAGTGAACGTTTTGACCTAAGATATAGACCTAATTCAGAATGTTCCTGATTGTTTATTTGCCTTTACACGTTAACGGCCTGACTTTATTTCCATATTTTAAAAATAAAATCTCAGATGTAATTTACTGACCCTTATGAATAAATCATTTTCCCAAGAGTGCGTACTAAAGATAGATATTAGTTAGACAACTAAGTTTAAAAGTATTACTTTAAGTATAAAATATACTTAGAGAGAGAGAGAGAGTGAGTGTGTGTGTGTGTGTGTGTGTGCGCGTGTATATATTCTTAGAGTTTTATACTTGCTTTTGTTCTTAGTGTATATATGCACACACATATATACACACGACACGTATTTTATACTTAAAGTATTACTTTTATACTTGGTATATATATATATATATACACACACACACACACTAAGTATATTTTGTACTTAAAGTATTACTTTTATACTTAGACAAGTATAAGAGTAATACTTTTTATACTTAGAGTATATTCTAAGTATATTCTTAGAGTTTTATACTTACTTTTCGACTTAAAGCATTACTTTTATACTTGATTGTAAAATGACTAACAGGACTACTATGACTAAATGCATGGATATACATTCATATATTAAAGACCCTATTCTAACAAAATCATAGCATTTAAAGATTTAAACATTACCCAGATGTGGTGTCTCACTGAAATGTGGTGGATTGTGTCTCACTGAGCTGCTGACCCACAAATAAACGGTTCAACGTTCAGTTTTCCATCGAGTCGAATTGTGCTGGGAAATCACGCAGTGGGGATAAAGGGGAATACCGAGTCAGCACGCACAGTTTCACTGGTGCAGTCGCTGTGTTTTTCTTTTTGTTTGTTTGTTTTTCATCACTGGCAAAGGGTAAAAATGTACAAGAAATACCTGTACTGCAATGAAATTAAATAATCTGAATGAAAAAGAAAAATCCGGAATAACATTAAAAAACAAAAACGAAAAAACAGCTTGTGTGTTTATTACATTATACATTAATATTTCATTGTATGAAACAAATTCAGACAAAGAGCAGGAGCGCAAAAGCTTCATTCAAACAGAATAAAACCACAGAAAATCGTGCCGTGTAGCTCGTGGTAAAATACATTGTTCATGGCTGATCTTTCGGGGAATATAGGCCACGTGAAGGCTGTTTATTTCGTTTTTTAATTGTTCGTATTTTCATTATGACCCACTGCACACGTTTCATTCTTTTTGGACTGCATATTTACTGGCAAACAAAAAAAAAAACAGCTGAAAAAGCCTTCACCTCACATCTCATTTGGACGCATATGGAATCACGTTAAGTTTGGGGATTTTTTAAAAACTTCTTGTAAGTTACACCTTAACAGTTAAACTGTCCAGTCAGCGTCCCCCAGAACTGAGATGCATCCCGAGCTGAGACAAACCAGGCGTTGCACTGCTGAACCGACTCTTTAGCCCCCTCTGAATGTGCGCCTCCACACCGACACCCTGGCTTTGCCTTTCTTGTAAGTGGAGAGGCAGGCCGGAGTAGACGGCCGACGGAGCCAGGTAGGAGGACCTCCAGGGCAGAAGAAGATTATTACACACAGCCGAGTGGTTCAGCTGGGGCACCAGCCAGTTTTGGGGTGGGTACGAGAGCGCAGAGGCATGGTGGAGAGTGTCAGGAGAGGACATGATTGCTGAGAAGGAAGAGACGGGTGGGGAAGATACACTGGGAGAGATGGGGATTACATCGACGGAGGAGACCTGGCGCTGGGCATCCACTCCTACCTCCCCTGACCTTCCGCTCCCTAAACTATCTCGGAGCGAAAGGACACCGGAGCCGGTGAGAGGAAGGATGCCTGGCTGTGTCCCACAATTGCGATGGCTTAGTGGATTAAAAAGACCTCTAGTTGAGCCAAAACAAGGGAGCTTGGACTCATACTGGTTCAGTGCAGTTTCCTGTTGTCGCACAGCCCTGATCCCTGCCTGGAAGAGAGAAGGGGTGTGGGGAGGTATGGGCGACAAGGGCAGAGTGGGCGCTAGGACAGGCGCAGTTGATGTCGCAGAGGGAGAGGGTGCTTTGGTTTTTTCTATGCTCAGGGTACTGATGTACTGCAGGTTAAGGACTTGAGCCCGCAGCTGGGCGTTCTCCTCGCTCAGAGCCAGTAGCTGGCCCTCTATCATCAGGTCATTCAGCCTCCTCTTCTCCCTGGACCGCTTGGCCGCCTCGTTGTTCTTGCGTCGCTTGTCCCAGTAGCTGGCATCTTTCTTATCGTCTGGGATCATCTCCCTCTTCCGGCGCGTAACGGGGGTGAAGTGGCTACTGTAGGCCTGTAAGCGCATGAGACGTCGAGCCAGGAGGGAGGACCGAGTCCCAGCCAGGAGCCGAGGCTCCGTGTCCGTGTACCCACTGCTCTCAACTGAGGAGGAGGGCTGGCAAGGAGCATCTGTCCCGGCACCGTCAGGGCTTTTCGGGGAGCTCATGACACTAGTGGAGGGAAACAAGTGTCAATCAAGCAGCATGCATACATCCAGCATAAATCTGACCCCGTTAGCTGCACCTGAATCACCTAAAGCAATGATTGCTGCATAAGTTTCGATTCATAACTAATGCTGAGAAAAATCTGCGTGAATGAAACTCGTTTACGTTTATTTTGAGCATTTTTGAGTTGAATGTACTTCAGACATTTGACGAAACGCGTAGTTTACTGACGTTGAAAAGCGAGTTAATAATCTGTAAATTCAATGTGCATTAATCTAAACAGCCTTACTCCACCACAACGTTAAATGATGTCGGCACATACGACAGTGTCGGTGCCTTTTCATTTAAAACAGTTTCTAACCTTCTTAAGATTAAGACAGATACATTAAAAGTTTGCCTCGAGGGAACTTTACGCGAGCATACTGAATGTGAGCGTTCACGTTTTAAAGCCTTAGAATTAGACAGCGTCGTAAAGTTGAACTGACACTGACCTGATTGGAAGGATGACACCTGTGGGACTGTTAGAAGCCGGGACTTTGAGCGTCTCTTGCAGCTCTGCAAACACAC